ACATTTCCATTTCTTAAAGTGCAGCAGATTGGAATAAGATATTTCAATATCAAATTACAGCATACATTTCTGCAGGGGTTTGATTTTTAATGTTCAACCTGAACAATCTGACTGACTGGTGGACAGAGGGTTGAACGAAGTATCCCAATTTGTTCTGAGAGTGTTCCAAACATACCTTTGTGGCAAAGTTAAAATGTATATGGATTAGGGCTCCCAGTATTTATTATATTGTTTATACTTCCATTGCTAAAATGAGTCCAGCATTGGGAAACACTCAAATTGAATTCCAGCCTTCTCCATGTTTCAACAGAAATTGTGGGAATGTTGTTTTTAATCAGTCACCATTTCTGTTCAAGTGTTGCATGACAACATGATGCTCTCTAGGTCCAGTAAGCACATCCCTTAATCTAAAAATATTAAATCAATGTGCATCAGTATTTTTTCTATATTGGCTTGAGAAGAAATTCACACTGTATGCAGAAATAAAAGCATTTACTTGTCATAAAACACCTGAAGCATTATCTTAGATGGTTTGATGGACTGATGAGAAGTTAGAGACTCTTAATGTATTAGACTGATGGGCTGAGCATCTAGAGAAATGTTCTTTTCACTCTTTGGGTTGACTATTGACAAAAGATTAAACTTTTTTCTCTGGTATCTACTGTGTTTGGCTCTACTCATTATTTAGGGTTTTCCACTTAGTTCCAATTCCTTTATTATTTCTAACCATTCAAGGATCCAAGTGAGCCAGTTTGAGCTTAAAATGCATCTTGAAATACCACTGGTCATGGATTGCCTCGGGGATAGTGTCACTACTTGAGCCAAGTGCACTGGTCCACTGTCACTACAAGCATGCTTGGTGCAAGGGATTGGTGTCTAGTCAATGAGTCGATGCAATCAGCTGTTTTTCCTTAGAGAGAAAACTTTGAACTATTCTCTCAGTAAAATACCTTGAGATGACATATGTACGGAATTGGCACTACATAAATAAACTAAATTGAATTGGTATAAATCAGCCCTTTTGTTACAATACAGTATAGTATGGTTTTGTTGAAACGACTATACAATGTTCCCCAAAATAACAGTTTGTCCCAATGCAGCTTTCGTTCAATTCTATTTCACACAAAAAAGAACAAACCAAATAACAATATATAACAAATAAATCACCTCTATATCCTGGCATGCTAATGCCTGACCTAGCGCCCTGGTTTTCAAAGTGGGTAACCCACCTGTTACAGCATGAACAATTTACCCCTCAAATAAAGCATCTTGCCAGACAACTGTGCACATAGTGATCAAACATATCACTCTTTTCTATCCTAGGTTAGATGTGTAACTTATCGGAGGTTAGTTACAAAAGGGTATTATACACTCAATAAAAATATAAACGCAACAATTTTGTTTTTGCTCCCATTTTTTTATGAGATAAAGTCAAAGATCTAAAACTTTTCCACATACACAATATCACCATTTCCCTCAAATATTGTTCACAAATCAATCTAAATCTGTGATAGAGAGCAGTTCTCCTTTGCTAGGATAATCCATCCCACCTCATAGGTGTGCCATATCTGCAGTATTTAAATATAACTCGATTGTCTCTAAGACACAATTACAGGCTTAAAATGTCAATAGCAGTTAATTTCATAATACTGGATCTAAATGTGGGAGAACAGCTGCGTTTAATCACCAGAGAAGCCCTAGTTCTTGAGCCATTTGTGCATAAGGACACAAAAGAATAGGCATGATGGAGAAGGGAACATACATAATCTGCCTACATTTAGTTATTACAGCTGAAAATCTTCTGCATTGGAACATTTATGAAAACAGTTTCGCCTTTTAGCAAAAAAAATAGCTAATTTTGTAAGAAACAGTGGATTAAAATAGAAAAAGTTTTAAATATGACCTTAAATATTGAGCAAATCGTGTGTTCTGCTATGGAATTTATTGGCAGTAGATGCCAAACATCAACAGTCATGTTAGTTCAACTTCATAATTCATTCATAATTCAATCTAACTGTAAATAAAGCCCAAAGGGTTTATGATGAAACTGCAAAGAATAAAAAAAGGCAGTCATGTGATCTGGGATTTTGCAGCGATCTTGAAGTACCGAACTTTTACATGTGGTTTTCCCTACATCCCATCCCAGTTGTGTAGGTATTCCAGTTGTCTGCTCTGTTTATTCTCAACAACAAAACATGCAGGCAAACTTCATCTACTCATTCTCCTCTCTTACCTTTTTTTTTGCCCCATCAGCAAAAATCACATACAGAAAGCCAACATATTTAACTGAAATTTCAACATTTCCCAAGTGCAGAAACTCTTTAATGGCTTTAAATGGATCGTTTGGATGAAAAGTCAGAGACGTTTTCTTTTTTTTTTTTTTTCCTTGTTCTCTTGTGCGGATAAATGTGTGACACCAAAGGCGTTATTTCAAAGCAAACCACTGAAGCATTCAACTGGAACCTTGATTTTTTTTTCTGCACCGACACACACACATACACACATTCACAGTTTACTGCATGTGGTTTCAGTCCTGCAAACTCTGTTTAAAGACGTTATTGTGACGCCTTCATAGAGGCTCTGCAGCTTTTATTTCATGTGGCAGTTTCTTGTAAAACTTGTAAAATATATGAATCCTTCAAGAAGGAATGTTCTGAGTCATCCAGGCCTGTGTTTTGTGTGTGTCAAAATGATTGGTAATGAAGCCTGAGGGCTTTTTATATATATTTTTTCGTGATGTGGTCAAGAATGTTGCAAACCTTGGGATTGTCGACGTGGTCACCAAGACGAGGTTTACCAGGTTTCCAGCTCGGGCCTTTGATGAAAGTTGACACTTTGTTGCTGAGTGCTTTGTAAAATTTGGATTTCTTCCATAAATATACATAGTAGTGCAACTGAAAGAAAAGAGAAACACAAGTCAGACCTCAGGTACAACAAAACATTTACCTTAAATGCAACCAAGCAAAAGACTGGAATAATTAATCTTGTACTGCAGCTTTTCGGATGTCATTAGGCAGAACATTGCTCATGCCGGGCTCTGCCAACGATGCAGCCTACAACACTAACATTCACCTGGCATTTTATTTTATTGGCCTCTTTCACCTCAGCTGGGCAGTTTGTTTGAACTAGAGCAATAATGTTATAGTTACAAAAAAGGCCCTGAAGCCAGCAAAGACTGAGCTAAAACTTCATTTATAGAAGGAGCTCATTTTCAGATGTGCTGCTTGACAGAAGCATGACTGACTGTAGCCACAGAAACAAGAGAGGACTAACCTGAACATGGAGGATTTCAAACGTCTTGATGGGAAACACCAGGCCATATATGACTTTATCCGATTCTGCAGCAAAGGTACCTGAGAAACACAAGCAGAGCAAGTGAAATTCTCAGAAAGTCTTTGGTCTAAAGCACTGAAGTACACTAGATATCTTTCCCAAACCCTTTGCTTTCATATTTATTTCCCCATCATCATTAAGGCAATAGATGATACATTTATGTTTCGCAATAATAGTGTTTTTCAGGTTGTGTGGTTGTTTGAAGAGGACCCAAATGCAGAGACAGAAGCTTAGGTGGATTCTTGTGGATTTAGATTGGTTCAAAGAAGATAAAGTCCACAAACAAAATACAGATAACCAAAATCCTAGAGACGTCAGGGAAAACACACACAAGGGGCAAAGGAATGATTAAGAGCAAGCAAAGAGCAACTGAAGAGGAGGAGTATAAACGGGAGACTGAACAAAGACTATGTTAATCAGCAGATCAACAGAAGGTAAACAAGAAATACATAAGAACTCAAATACAACAAAGAAAGACTATAATAAGGCTAAATGGAAATAATACCAATGAAAACTCAAATAGAAAACTTAAACAGAACCAAAACCATGACAACTGTAATTATGTGACTGGTGTGAGGCTGAGGTAGTACACTTATAATCAGAAGTAAAAGCTCACTCATCAGAACTGACTTAGAAAACACAAACAGGCTGTAACAACACTTTTTAATCACATGTAATGTATTGCTTCGGGCTAAGATAAAGGGTAGGATTGATAACAAAAAAGTAATATGTAGGTTCAGCATCTCAAAGTTCAACGTGAAATAGAAAAATAATAATATGTCTTACCAAACAATCGATCCCAAACTATAAGAATTCCCCCATAGTTTTTGTCGATGCAATACAGGTTCCTTCCTGTTGAAGACACACTTGATGATGTTAATGTTTTAAGGAGCATTAAGCATTTTATCCAGCAATCATCAATCTTCCAGACTTTATGACATGCTGGTTGTAGCTTGTAATAATGTTTGACTCACCATGATGAACTCTGTGATGTTTAGGGGTGTTGAAGACCCATTCTAAAGGCCCAAGGTCTCGGATTAACTACAAAAATATAAAGAAGATTTCCGACTTAGGATTTTTCCATACTTCTGAAAAAAATTGCTAGACTTTTTGTGTGTAAATTAGGCATGTCCCAATTAGATTATATAAGATATTGGTCCAATATTAGCCAAAAAACTAATATAGGATTTTATATGCCAGCATCCAAAATCTCTGATATGTCATGCTTATAGAAACACTCTGCTTCTGTTAAAAGGTTATGCAACTCATCTCTTAATTTTAGATGGGTCAGTTGTTTTCGTACCTATTGCTATTGACTTTTGTTTCCTTATTTAGTAATAAAACTTGATCAAGCTTTTTCTATCATTCTGCGCCATAAAATAACTAATAAAAGTTGGTACGATTTATTTTCATATCGATGGAAGTTTCTTCCTGTTAAAAGGGAGTTTTTCCTCTCCACTGTCGCTACAAGCATGCTTAGTGTGAGGGATTGCCTTCGAGTCAATGATTTGATGCAATCAACTGGTTTCCCTTTGATAGAAAACTGTGAATCAATTTGACTGTACGATCTGGAGAATTGTAAAATGGCTTGAGATGTCATGTCTTGTGAATTGGTGCTATATAAATAA